AATGACCTTTGATATGTCTTTCTATCATGCTTTTCATAGTTAGGGAACTTGATAAGGATAATTTGGTTGCGATGCGTATTCCATCCAATTCAATGAGTTAAGGAAAATCTGAAAGTTGATTTGTGCTTTTCACTGTTAATTTGGAGCATTGTCATTCATAGTCTAAAGGAATAATAACTGGAAATTGGTTTGTATGCATATGGCATGTGTGGAGAAGGACCTTCTAACTAGCCTTTCACCCTTTTCAATTCACCAAATTCGTTTTTACAAAGTGTTTTATGCAAAGTTTCTGTTTTAAGTTTTAATTTCGTCAAAAACAATCCCCCTTCCATTGAGTCTTGTTATTTGATTCAAAATTTGTTTTCTTTTAGTCTTTTGAGTCAAGTTAAATCTTATTTTCGTCAAAATCACTTGTTAGGTCTAAAATTGAGTCTTTTTTATTGTTTGTTGTTGTTTTGAGTATTTTGAGTCAGTTTTGAGTCTATAGAGTCTAATTTAGTGTTTTTAAGTCTTATTTGTGTTGATTAGCATCCCTAGTTAATCCCTAGCCTAAAACGATCCTTACTTTTATATACTATAATCATAGGGTTTTAATTTGTGTGTCAAGTTAATTTTCACATCATTATATAGGACCATATAAGATTATTAAGCGAGTTGGTGAAGTTGCCGACTTGATCTACTACCATAATTGTCAAGAGTGCACAATGTGTTCCAATGTTCATGCTATGGAGATACTTCTCTGATTCGTCACATGTGATTCATCCTCAGCCGTTAGAGATTAACCCAAATTTGACTTATGATGAGGTTCTAGTGACGATTCTTGATTGGAAAGAAAAAGTTCCTAGAAACAAAACCGTTTGATTGGTAAAAGTCTTATGGAGAAACCACTATGTTGAGGAAGCTACTTGGGAGACGAATAAGCGTATGCGAGATCATTATCCACGTTTGTTCTTTAACTATAATCTTCAGTAGTGTTGAAATTTTGAGGACAAAAGTTTCTTAAGGATGGTAGGTTATGACAACCCATCCCTAATTTTCCATATAATTTCCTTACTGAGTGCGTAAAATGAAGATTATGCCATTGTTGGAAAAGTGGAACCTAATGTGGACGTTGTTATTCGGTTTTTAATTTATTTTTCCTATTATCATAATTAAATAGTACTTGTTACGAATGCGTGAGCGTGGGTTAGACCCAAATCGGATTTGTAACGAAGAAGTTACACTTAGTTAAAGTATGTTAACAACGGGTAAAATTGTACGCGTGTGTATGAATTAATCAGTGTTAGTGAACAATGTTTTAGATAGGGTGAGGTAGATATTTTTTAGTTTTAAATTGTGTAAATTGGACCCTTTCCCTCTTTAAAAACGGGTCCTTTATAAGTGACCTTACCTCACCAACCAATCAATTTTCTTCCCTTACTTTTCTCACCCAATCAGAAACCCTTTCTCCTAATCCAATCAAAAACTATCTCTCTCTCTTTCTCTCTCTCCCTCTCTCTCCCTCTTTTCTTCTCTTTCTCTCTCCCATGCCGTGTCTCTCTCCTCTCTACAACATAAACACCATCATTAAACATCATAGATTGGACTTCAAATCACCACTATCGTACTTCTCTCATCCCCACGAGTCCATTCGTATGAGTCGATTCAAGAATAACCGAGTTTTGAGCTTCCAACTTGGACCTCCGACTTGGGTGTAGGTTCTTCAACGACTTTCCGTTCAAGTTACAAGGTTTTGGAAGGTATAGAAGCAATTACACAACTCCCTAAGGTCCCTAGCCTAAGTTTGAAGTCAAACCAATGTGTCGGCATGCGGCTTTGGAACGTGGGAATTAGGGCCAAGCTCTTCGAGGTATTTTCAGTCCATTTTCATCCACTTTTGGACTTTCAAAAGGTACAAACTTGTTCTTTTCTTCCCAAGCTTCATTTCCATATAAAGTACTCGAAAATGGTTGAGAAATGAGGAATATATAAAGTTTTAAAGTTTTTACAAAAATCTGGCCAACTTTTTTAGATTTTGGCGAACCAGATGGCGACGGCGGACAGCGGCAATGGTGACCGTAAAATTGGAGAAGAATGAGAATATTCCGTTAAAGTTGATGAAATATTCTCACGCCGTTACTGACGCCATTAAGGTAACACCGTTAGACTTAGCGGAATATTCTGTCAATTCTGACGAAATATTCTACTAGGACCTGCTAAAGCATACAGGCGCGTGGCCTGCACGTGGCCACAAGCTAGCAGCGTGTGGAGGTACGTGAGCACGCGTGGAGGTATGTGAGTGCCCGTGGAGGCGCGTGCCTCTTCGTGGAGGCGCGTGGTCGACTTGTACAGGTCCGTGACGTCGTGTAGAATGTTTTCATATATTTAAACCCTCTATTTGAGCAAATTTTGCGGGATTTTCCTAGCCTTTTCATGTATGTTTAATTAATTAATTACTATAGTTGTTTCACATATAGGAGAGAATTATCCCGAGGAGGTACGAGGTCAAGCAAGGCTAAGAGGCTACAATCCGTCTATGTATTAGTAAGTGGGCATTTGTTTATATATATATATATATATATATTATGTATATTATGTATAAAGTTTTATGGTTTCCACAAATGCTTTTGGATTAATATTATGCCTATCATGCCATGTTTTATTTCATTTTAAAAGTGCTATTATGTGGTTGAGATTTATAAATTGTCATGGCATGTTCTTATACATTTTACCTGCTCATCATGCATGCTTGCGCCGATGTAGTACTCGCCCCGGGCGAAGGCCAGGGCCAGGCTTCATGTGTATGTTCACTTCGCACCACACATTCACTTTGGATCCATTATAGTGCCAGTCATGTCCTATGTTGCAATAGGTAGCTAGGACTCGTATGTGATGTGCCCAGGGACAGACTTCATGTGATTGTAGTACTAGAGCGTATATTATGATTACACCCAATCCTACTCATGTCAGAATTTCTCTGCATGAACTCGTGTGTTAGCATAGATTGATGAGCAGTTGATTTTCTTATGCCAGGGTTGAGATATTATGATTTGTGTGTTTCATGAATTATTGTTGAATTACCTTTGATTTCATACTTATACGTAGTATGATTTTCTGGAAACTATACTTGTTTTACGGCAATGGGTTAATATGTTCAAAAAATAAATGTGTTTCATAAACCTTTGTTTTTCCCCACTCACAACTTCTATTTTTCACCCTTCCAGGACGTAGTCAGTTGAATCCTCTGTGGCGTACAAGGGATCTTTGGCAATTTTGACATTCTCCTAAATAAATGCAGGAGCTTATTTCCAATTGTGTAATAAGTACCTTAACTAGATTCAGCTACTCTACTTATGTCATACTGTCATTTATGCTCTGACTACTTATGTTTTATGGGTTTTTCCCACTACTGTGCACTCTCTTTATTAGCTTAAATAATTTCTAGCTTTGGTTTAAATTTATCCACATTTTTACATCACTTTCTTTTTGGCTACATCAATCGTTATTTTCATGTCGTTTTAACTGGTCGTGTAAGAAATTGGCAGGTCTAACCAAAACCATGGAACATCAAAATGGTCCACAAGGTGGTTGAATGAGCTCACAAATATCGCCTTGAATTCTTTGAAAAAATGATAGGAATCTAGTATCAATCTTTGATTGAGATGGTCCAAGTACTAACTTCCCTTGAGAAGAAGCCTTGGAGGGTTATCATTTGATATAGCAATATGTTTGTTCAGTAGTGGATGTCCATTAAAGTTGGTAAAGATCCTACGCATCATGGTGGATCTTGTATGACCCAAACAATCATGTCAAAGAATGTAAATTTTTGGATCAATGAACTTTTGGTTCACGACATTATGTGTTTCAATTGTCTTTATGTAAGTGTAATACAATTCAACCATGCAACTTCTCCAATGTGCGCTTCTGGATATCATTTGAGGTATGCATATATTCCATATTATCTGCATATTTTGTTTCAATATAGTCCATTCAAACATATATCTTTAAAGTTCAACAAATTTCTTGTGAAGCAAGTAGCGTATAATGTATTTTATATGGACAATATTGTTCCAGTTGGTAACATGACCTGGGCTTTTTTGGAACCCTCAATTACGTCTGATTGGCCAAATATTATCGTTACTTTTGTTTTTGTAAAGTATCAAGCTTGAGAAATATTTTTTATCTCGAACTATCGTATAACTAATGAGTAAGACAATCTGAGTTAAAAACAAGGTATTCATAATAAAAGGAAACTACAATGCTACTTTTATTGAATTAAAATTAAAAGCTTCAAACAACAAGTTTAGATAATGAAACAATAGTACACAGAATAAAATTGATTTGAGTAAACTTATAAACTTAATTCCTCCTTTCCACAATAAAGTCAAAAACATCTAGATGGGTTGTTCCAATTGACCTGATAAATCAGACAATAGGTCGGGTATATCTAATAGATCAACTTGGTCGATGAAATTAGTCTTGGCATTCTTTCTTTTGAGTGAGGCTTGATAAAGATCCACAAAATGTTTCGGGATACGACATGTAACTCCTTTAGAGTTTTTCGTTTATAGTGCATTCTTGATCCTTAAGTAATTTTTCACTCAACCGTTAGAAGGCATAGGATAGTTATAGCTCTGATAATGTTTAGTGAAAATGTAAAATGGCAGGGGAAAGTTGCATCGAAAGGTATATCTGGAATGTGTTAGTTCAGTAGCTCGCTTTCTCCAATTTACAGGTATAACTGGAGCACTGCAGCAGGCTTTGCAGCAAAGTCATGTTATTTGACTATTTTATGTTTGTTGCGATCTCTGATCAATCAATCCCCATCAACATTAACGGCTCATTTACCAATCCGTAATCAGAACGTGGGAAATTGAATTGAGTTTGAGTGAGTTAGAGTCAGAATTAGATCATGTTGAAATTGTTTGCTAAAATTTCTTGGGATCGGAATAGAAATCGTATTTATCCATAGAAGTTGTTTACTAAAACACATGAATCAGAATGAAAAGCAAACGCATGAATGTTTCGAACACAGTGCAATTCCGTTTCTTGCTATTCCATTACCGTTTCATAAGCACGCCCCAAGTTTGAAGGCACTTTTTAGAGGGGGATCCCAAGCAAGGAAGAACTTCAACGGTTCACTAACTATACACTCTAGGAAATTACATTCTCAAGTAATAATAATAAAAAGATTCTTCGTACTAAAAGCTAACACTAACCTCTGATAAATGATCGCACCAATGATCTAAATCTGAGAAAATCTTTCAAACTGCTGCACGCTGCATTCATCATTCCTCTCTTGGTTTATAACAATTAATCGGGGGCAATCTGCAAATTTCAAGTTACAAATACCTCTGGGTTGGATGATAAGTCTGACTTAATCTCCATCCCCTTTCCGTATGCGGCAATGAGTAGGGCATCGGCCCTTCCTAAATATCAGGAAAATTCACGACAATCTTAGAATTCAATGAAACAATGCATGTATGATGATATTTCAACAATAAAGAAAGAAGAGAGAGAACATTTTAGAACATTGAACTTGATTTACTACAACATTTGATCCTTTTTCATATGATTACAGCATTAGTGCCCTCGCTCATATAAGATTCATGTAGCAATGAAATTGTCGAGAAAATGACTTTAACTAAATTCACTTACGAGAGACAATTAGGAAGGTTGAGTTTATATTGAATTTGCTCCAAATTGATATGAAAATCTCCCAAGGGGACACATCCAAAAGAAAGTCAAGAGATGAAAACAGCAGGCTTTTTCTTTTTTTTTTTTTTTTTTTTTTTGTGAACAAATGATATTATCTATATACTAAGGGGGGAACTGGGCTAAGCATCACAATAGGCTAGCAATAATGTGGTTTAAATTCGCCTTTGACGAGAATCGAACCTAAGACCTCTCACTTACAAGTGAAGAAGAATACTACTAAACCGTGATACTACGCGGCAAAAACAGTAGGCACTAAAAGGATCATAAGATAGGAAGATAAGCTTTTGCAAGAGTTAGCACAAGCATATATACCACAGAGGAAAAGACAGGTGATATGAGCAAACATGTCTTCTACATAACAGAAGCTCAAACCTATAGACTATAGAGACGCCCTTTGAAACATGCACTTCCAACATTCCTCTATTCCTAGATTAGGTAAAAGTAGACTAGGAGCTTCTAGTCATATATACCCTGAGTTTTCTCTTTCCTTCCCTCTGTCTTTCTCAATTTTGAGAATTTTCTTTATTTATCATTTATTGGCATAAAATAGTAGAAACAATATATACATATTACACACACACACACACATACATACATATGTATGTATGTGTGTATGTGTGTATGTATGTATATATAATTAAGAAGATAGATTTAGTACCGTGATCTTTTTTCCTTTCCAACATGGACTTCAATGATGGAAATAATGCAGACGCAACCCTCCGGCTATCATCCTATCAAGTCAATACATAGAATAGAATTAATACCATCTTTTTTCCTTTCCAACATAGAACTCAATGATGAAATTAATGCAATTCCAACCGTCCAGATATCATCAAAACTTAGCGTTTGAAATTTAAGCAATGGAACAATTCACAGGACATATTCTAAAAAATTAGTTAAGCAATGTCAAATAGTTTTTTGTTTTTTTTTATTTTTATTTTTTTATTTTTTTTTTATTTTTTTTTTTATACAGATTAAGGGAATCGAACCATTGGCCTAGCCTATTGTTTCTATTCAACAAAAAAATTATGATAAATTCTGAAATTAAAATGCTGTAAATAGGCTGTGAAAGCACATATAGTTGAGACCAACTAACCTTTGTATACATACTTCCGCTGATTTCAAATTTGCTCTTCCACGAAACAGATGACACTGGAACAACAGAAAACCCCATCGCAACTAAGATCCCAATCCATAGTCCATACCCGAAACCTCCACTCCACCATCCCTTCATCCAGGAAAAGGCTCTCAGCAAGAATCGAAAGAATTCAAACAGATTTCTGTTTTCTTTTCCTATTCACTTTCAAGGCAATCAGTCAAGCAAAATGGAAATTATAACAGTAGTCTAGGCTTACAGCTAAAATAATTGGCCGAAAGGCTTCTCTATCGCTAATTATAAACGATAAATGTCATGAGATAAACTGGAAAATATGGAGAAATATTCTCTTACAGAATCTACTGGAACCGAAAATCAGTTTGTAAAACTTGACGGAAATTTACTTTAGCATAGTCTCACATTTTCAAGGAATATGTAGTGTACATGAAACCTTTCTTTGTAAATTAGTTTCCCAAGGACAAGTTGAACCTGTCAGTTTAACATGGGTTCTGATCCCAACTTCCAACTTGTAAGCGCAGTTTGCAAGGTGCAGAGTGGGGCTGTACCTGCACATTTCTCTCTTTCTCTCTCCCTCCATGTGTTGGCTTGAGGACGGGCAGTTACTTAGCTGATATGCATTGTTGGCCTATTCCCTAAAAACTTAAGTTTTTGGAGTCAAATGGTTATCTAACACAGTATCAGAGCTGGTGCACCACAGGGATGGGTCAGCTTTGTCTTAGTACGACAGCCTTGTCTGTTATTTAACTTATTTTTAGGATCAACACATATGCAAGCACTACAGACTCTACTATTAAAGACTAACCAGCCTGCTAGTAACCTCTTATGCTGAAATAAAGATAACTGTTTTAACGGCCCTGATTTTTTCCAATTTTTCATATTACTGGGGATGACAATGGTGCCAGTCATACGCACAATTTATAAAAACAAAGGAACCAGATGTAAAATAGTTTATAAAATAGCATAACGAGACCAAGGAATAGTCTACTGAGAGATATCACACTAACCTGCTTTCCATCTTGTGGAAAGGGGGTCGACTGCTCCACATATGCAACCGTACCTTAAACACGAAAGTGCAGTTAGGATTGAGGATAAAGGGTAAGAATGAAAGGAAGAAGAGAGCATACCGGGAGGAGCATCAAAACTGCCGAGCAACTGAACAATAGATTTTGCATCTAAACGCCTGCGAACTCTTTTACCAACCAGCACTTTCAAATGTGGAGAGTCATATACCTGAGAAATCAGAAAACAAAAGAGATTGCATAAGTTGACAGGGACAAAAATCCAAAGCAGGATTAGTAAGGAAAATTTCATGGCATTGTACCCAGATTTATCAAACTCATGTAGGAATCTCTTAAGTGTATAAAACAATTTATCTTAAACTGCAAAGAATCTTTCCTCGAATCGAAACAAACTGAAACAGTTGATGCCCAGAATGACAAACAATGATGCCATTAAACTGAATAACTAACTAACTAACTAACTAATTAACTAACTGTTGCTAAAAACTAAAAGGAAAATAGGGGTGCAATTTGAAAAAAAAAAAAAAAAAAAAACATTTGAAGTAGGAAGGCAGTTAGTTAGTTAACCTGAGCAGAAGAAGAAGCTGGGTCATCATCATCCGCTCTCAAGAGGGCCAAAGCACCAGAAACATCCGGGTCGACCCCAATGACCCAACTGGAATCCGAATTGGTACGGGTCGAATCCAAGGAATCAGGGGCGTGAGGAAAAGGGCACGAGAGAGAGGCCAACCAGTTGTGTTTGAGCTGAGCAGCGTCGGAGACCTTGGCGGCGGTGGCGGCCTTAACCCCGTCCCGGAAGCGGAGGCAGAGGAGAAGGGTGTCGTCGAGTGAGAGTAAAGCGAAAAACACCGATTGAGGTTGAGTTTGGAAGACAAGGAGAGAGGAAGTCTGATCATGTGTTGGGGATGAAGTTGGGGGTGGAAAGCTTCCATCAAAATCCAATTTCAGATTTCAAATTCTCACCCACTCCCACTTCACTCCACCAACCAATTGGTCCAATTCATTCGCATCATCCTATCAGGCAGAGGCACCCCCGCCCCCGCCCACCTCCTCCGGTTTATGTCCAAGTCGAAAACTTCTTTTCTTTTCTTTTTTTGGGGGAAATTTTGAAGGTCTCTTTATTTCTAGCCTCGAACAGAATTAAACACATTTGTGTTTGAGAATAAAATGTTGTAAAAGTTGTGGGAATTGAATGTTCACATGGTTTAATAAAAAATAGTTGTATTGTCAGATTTTTTTGTTAAAAGACATGGTTTTCAACCTGCATTAATTTTTCTTATAGACTTGTGCACTTAAATTAAATGGCTCTATATAAAGAGCATGCATTGTATGATCAAACAACACATAAGTTCAAGAGTAAAAGTAACAATACCAATTTTCTTCCCCTCTCTTTACCTATATCTTTTGTATGATACAACTACGAAAATAAACAGTGTGATACATGCACTTGTTTCACTTCTATTTCTAGCAAATGTTATATCTATCACTTTTACCTATTTATAACACATTTACAGCATAGCGCTTTAACCCTAAATAGTTTTCACTTCCTTTGCCAAAAAATGTTTCCCATACGATATTATTGTTCATCTTCCTTATCTGCCTCACTTGCTTTGTGTTTCCTCACCAAGAGCTGCTAGCACCATGCATTTTCCTAGTCCTCAATTTAATAATTACTTATATTTTTTATTTCTTATTTGGCGTAGCTCCTTAATACTAATTATGCACTGCAATTTTAGATGGTTTGGTATAATTGCCCATCTTGAACTAAATATTTAATTTTACTACAATTTTAGATGGTGTGGTATAGTCGCTCATCCTGCATTGCATATTTAGTTTTACTTAAATGGTGCGGTATAATCGCCTATTCTACACTATATTATATTAGTGAGAGTGGTGTAGTAGAATCGACTTCCTCATTAATTTTCTTTCTTTCTAGTAGTAATGCACAATACTGATGGTAGTGTCTATGTACTAGAGTATTACTAACTACCTAATAATTTTTTATTTAATGTCTAAATTATGTAAATCTCGAGCCTAAAGTTTCGAGTGCTTATCATTTTGGCTTGAAATTCAAAATGAAAAATTTGTAAGAACCAAAAGTTCTAACATTACATTCCTTAAGAATTTATATTATTACGAGTTCTTACACATCTCACGTCACATCCCGGTCCGGGCGGGACGACTTCCCGGGCCCGCTCCACTACCGTAGCACGATATTGTCCGCTTTGGGCTTACCATTCCCTCACGGTTTTGTTTCTGGGAACTCACGAGCAACTTCCCAGTGGGTCACCCATCATGGGATTACTCTAGCCCCCTGCTCGCTTAACTTCGGAGTTCCTACGGAACCCGAAGCCAGTGAGCTCCCAAAAAGCCTCGTGCTAAGTAGGGATGGGAATATACATTTAAGGATCACTCCCCTGGGCGATGTGGGATGTTACATCTCATTTTTCTTTCAGAAAGGGAAAATGGTGAACTTGTCAAAGCTTGATTTTGTTTCCCTTAATATCACTAGGAAAAACTACCTTACCTAGGTTGTGGATGCCAAGATCCATCTAGAGGCAGGAAATCTTGGAGACACCATCAAGGAGGGAAGCACTACATCCTCCTAAGATCGGGTGAAAGCCATAATCTTTATTCACCGCCACATCCATGAAGGATTGAAGAGTAAGTAGCTAACAGTTGAAGACCCACTGGCTCTCTAGAATTCATTGAGAAACATATATAATCACTAGAAAATGGTGATTCTCCCAAGAACCCGTTATAAGTGGGCACGCATGAGAATCCAGAATTTTAAGACGGTCGTTGAGTATAACTCTACAATGTTCAGACAATAGTTCATAAACTAGTTCACACAACATAGTGCAATGTCATGCATAATCAGAAGTATGATCATGCAATTATTACAAACTAGATAAAAGTGCAGTAAAGGAGTCATCACCCAAGTCTGTAGGTGGAAGCCTCACTACCAAGCCCACTCGTCACTCCTAGGAATTTCCTTATTCTCGCTATGTTCTGAGGGGTCAACAAAACATGGTGTGAGTGGATCAAGTTTATCTTGTCAAAATCCTTTGCACATGCTAACCTCCATTTTTAAATCACTTATATAGTCAAAAACTACATAAATATAGTATTACTACCATAATAGTAAACAAATTCTCATCATAACACTCATAATATCAAAGAAAGTAAATCAATCAAACACTCCAAGTAAATCAATTTGTATAGCAAGCATGTGAAATGACATCTACTTGATTTATGACTAGCATTTATTAGTCATAAATCAACATACATAAATAACCTCTACAAGAAATAGTTTATTTAAAGACATTTAGTTTTCGAAAGATAATGAGGGCAAGGGATAAACGACAAGGAGAAACAGATATCGACGAAAAGTCATCTTCCACATGATCCGACCCTTATCTCATGTAACTTTTAGTCTCTTATACCACTACATAAAAAAATAAAAAAACCCTTTCCAGACAAAAGGATTTCGTCAGGCCAAATAAGTTTTCCTCAGGCAAAGCTCGCTATGCAAAAAGTTTGCTCAACAAAAATTTAAAATCCATCGACGAAACTACTAACAATTAGTTTTGTCGAGCGAAGTGCGTTGACCAACTTGACCCGATGAATATAACTTGCTTGACGAAAATTTGTTTGTTAGTTAACGGTATATTTGTAGAAATAAAAGCTAAAAAATTGTTTGCCCGACGACCATTTCATTGGGCAAGACTGCAAGTAATATAACAAAAAAAAAAATCAAACATAATGTACATGCTCAACGAAATTATTCATCAGGCAAACTGAGCTTTTTTGAACACAATGTATTGTCAGCATCTTTGCCGACTTCTTTGCCTTCACTGTCCAAAATAATACCATATTTGGCGGTTGACACCACCTTTTCAGTATGGAATGTGAAGGCAAGAGTTCTAGTTGTTTCATTCTCAAATAGGCCAATATGTGCCAACAAGAAACTCCCTAAAACTTCATCTCTTTGCAGCTTTATTTAGCATAATCCGAGACCGTATCAATCACTAACCTTTCATCTTTGTCACCCATGCAGCCCTTTCAAGTACTTCATTCACCTCTTTATTCTCACATGCTGACTTCTCCCTTAAGAACCAAGTCACTCTACAATTCTTCCATTTGAAATTTTTCAAACATAAACCAGGTGTACAATTTCGCAATTTGAGCTTCCATTGGGATGCGAAGCCATACAGAAGGGGCATAATTTTTTCCATTATGGTCATCAACCACCTCTTTCTAACGCTATCTCCCAAGAGCTCGATTAAAACAAAGGACAAATTCAATCAAAGAGTGATTTCTATGCACATACTGCTTCAAAAAGGAATGAGAATTCTCCATACGTTGACTGCTCAACATTCCGGCAGAAAAAACTTGCTTGCAAAATGTCAGAACCTAATTTTCACGTAAGAAGTAAATGTCATCAAGCCAAGATTTATCAACCAATTCAAGTTATTCTACCAATGCTTTCCACTTTGCCTTAAATTCTTCTTTACGTTCAATATCTTATATGCACTCATGCAAATCATTGAAAATGCCCTCAACCTAACCCTTGTTATTGCATTTTTTTATAATATCCATATGCAATACCAAAGAAAGATTGTTGGTAGTTTGCTGCCAATCGTCTTTGCTATGACTCTATCTTGATCCGTAATTATGACTTTCGATGAATCAACCGACATAGCTTTAAGGAATTCTTCAAATAACCACTCAAAGTTCTTACTTTTTTCATTTTTCAGGAAAATGCACAACTCAATACCGTGGTGTGACCATGGTTATTAACTTCTAACAAAGGAGCAAACATCATCTTGTACACATTGGTGTTGAACGTGGTGTCAAAAACAATCACATCACCAAAATGGCCATAACCATGTCATGACTTAGCATCCGCCCAAAAGAAATTGCCAAGTGTTCTGGCTTCATCAATCTCCATCTTGAAATAGAATGGCTCATTTTTCTCTTTCTCATCCTCAAAAATTCTGCATCATACCTGATTAGATGAGCTCGCAATTGCTATTCAATATTATACATATTCTTGGAGATATAATCAATATTTCCAATCCCTTCACTTTTCACCTCCAATAAAACCACTTGTTTACTTTTGAAAATATTCACCAGCGCACATTGTTCAATCATCATCTCCTTTGCCTCCGAAACTCGATGATGAGATCTAAATAAATGTGAGGCACTTTCCATAAGGTGGTTGTGTCCTTTGTTGAAAACTTTTACAACAAATTTACCATAACCAATTCTCTTATACAACCAATTCTTGCCTTGCGGTCACTTCTAGCATCTCCCCTCCTGCCTTTCCGATTGGGTTTGAGATTGACATCCACCATCTTTTTGCCTTGTTTGCAACAAACAAATTCTTTCCTTACCAAACAATTACCATCATTGCACTTTTTGCTGCTCTGCTACAGAATCCCAAACCCAGATACAAGTGATAATTGTTGGAAAAAATATATCATTCATCCAATGAATAAAACTCCACTTTCAATTTGGGTTTCAACTCATTGTCTACATTCCTTCTTGCACCAAATTGATCTCTTGCATCTACATCCTCTCCTTCCTTGATAATTTCATCTATTTTAACTCATCCCCCATCAAATTACAATTCAATAACTACCTGCTACAAATCTTTAAATTATCACAACTTAGCACAAGTTTTAAGCGTATACATCTAAAATCGAATTTCAAGATTTTAACGAAGTCTAGTGGTAACCCCCAAGCATTATGGATTCAAAAATCCATAATTACAAATATCTTACACATGTACTTGAAGTTGGTTTGTAGACTAAAAAATGGAATGGAAATGTAAAGGAAACGTACATCCCGTAACACTTCAACCAAATGATTAAACCAACTCCCACCACAACGAATGCAACGGTGATAGAGCTCTAACCACATGGTTTCTTAACACAACATCTTTGCAGATGTCGGATTTGGATGAACTAACACCACAAAACAGGCCTTCATAATCCAGTCCAAACTGATCTTCAATCCACCTAAAATCGAGCACTCACACACTTCCCCAGCTCCCTCTCTACCTATATCCTCACAAATACAACCCTCAACTATCCTTCTC